CGCCCTATTTCAGTGCCAGGAACTTATCAGTAACGTCTTATAGGTCTCTAACCGGCGGTGTATAATCAGTTAGGAAACGGTCAACGTATATCAGCGTAGGGAAATTTATTGTCAGTAACGTGCTTTAGGTCGCTAACCGGCGGTAATCAGTGAGGAAATGCTAGACGTATTTCAGAGTCAGGAACTTATCAGTAACGTCTTATAGGTCGCTAACCGGCGGTGTATAATCACTTTAATCAGTTAGGAAACGGTCAACGTATATCAGCGTAGTAACGTGCTTTAGGTCGCTAACAGGCGGTAATCATCGAGGAAACGCTCGGCGTATTTTAGGCAAGAATCTGTCAGTAACGCGCTCCTGGCGCTGACTGTGGGAAAGAAGTTCGGAAATAACCCGAGTCGTCGATTATTTGTTTTAGCTCAGGTCACATAATTTTGAGTGCATGTCTAAAAGAAGAGATGGTAGCTCTGAGTCTCCGGAGTAAAACATCACGTCAACCTCTCTTATTATTAGGCATTTATTAACTTACAATTGATAATCCAGGTCAAATTCAACGTTTTATATAAAGCTAACGGTTTAACTTTTTAAGAATCTGCCATCACATTTCTTTAACTATAAAGATTTACGACACTATGAATGAGCAGCGAGTAGCTGTCAGCTATACGTACGTTCCCAAAAATTTTCTAATTTTATAATTCTCTTTATGCAACATTACAAACGCAGAAGGGTGCTGCTGCCACCACCCAAGATTACCTGACATTCGTACATTCTCTTCCGCGTTTCATTTAATTTTCCTGCCATCAGGGCCTACAGAGTAATTACACCAGTCAGAGGCACTGTACCTGTTATACCTGCACCGCGCAGGGTCGCGTTGTGGCGTGCGGTTGTTCCTTTTACTTCTATTAATTTCGTGGTTCCTTTATGTCTGGAGGAAGCACCGTACATAGGCTGGGTCAACCACAAGACGAATCGTCCGGTGTGATGGGTTCTTGCTTAACTCTCTGACGTGACAAGGAAATTAGAAGCAAAGAAAACGCCAAGCAAATTTCACCATAGCAAATTCATCTTGGCGTTTTCTTTGCTTTTAAATTCCTGGTGAACTTGCGATATAAGCAAACTGATAATATAAGTACTCTGACGTGACCACTCAAGTGGATTTGAGTGTTACCTTAAGATCTATTATCAATGTCTCCAAGACCGGTACAAAAATTTTGTAAATATTTTCATGTACGCAAGGTAAGTAATTTCTTCTTGCGCCCATAGTAGCATCCCCTTCTCCGAACAGGTTCATTTTTAACCTGTAACTTATTGCTGAGTCGTGAGTAAGCGAGCTAGGCTCGCTTATTTCTATTCGCTACGATATCGCTCGCTATTCGCTACGATATCGCTGTTGTTGGAATCGCATGATTCCATCTCGAGTACCTTGGAGAATAACTTCTATGGCGATCCATTCTGTGGTCGACGCTCGCAGCTGAACTTCTTCCGTAGCCGAACACGATCAGGCTTTGCAACGAAAGTGACCATGAAGAAATCAAGTAGGCCTTTTGCCCCAGGCCTACCTTGAACCTTCATCTGGCCCAGCAATCAAACTTGATCCCACCTTTCAACCCTGAATTGAATCAGTGATTACGCTTGGCCCTCTCGCATATTCTTCTGCTTTACAAAGAATCAAATGATAAACTTTTATCATAATTTAGAGCAAGATCTCATACGCTACACCTTCATCTCGCACACAGATCAACGTAGGATAAATTATGTGGCTTAAGCCAATCTTTTATTTCAGAAGATTTTTTCATTCGAGAAATTCTCCCCATCATCTGATAGCGATCCCAACTCACTCGACCACTTCATGAAGTCTGGTCTGAATGTTAGGACATTAAATGAGTTATATTTTGTATATGGAGTGTAAATATACCACTTCATGATCACTTCCTGCACTGTTTATGGAGTCTGATCCCACTGCTCAAAAACTTCATGTAATGCATATGGAGTCTGATGCCTCTTGTCGAACACTAAATGAAGTGTATATGGTATGTGATCCCACTTCACGACCACTCCAAAGAATGCACATGGAGTCTGCTCACCCTTCTGCATGCCTGATCTTGTTCTGTCAAAACTTCACTGTAATTGAGTGCCTTAATTATAATTCAAAAATCTTTTCAAAGCTCTCGTTCGCGTTTGCTTGATTTCATTTGTCTATAATAAAATGTTCCTATTTAAAGTTTGTATATAAATCAACAGCCTATCTCAAATATCAATGAAGTTTATGATTTAAAAGTTTTCTTTTACAATTTGAGACTCGCAGTTCAGTGCAAAGAAAAATAAGAGTGCAAATTTCTAATATGTTTTTTTATTTGTCCAACAGTTTCGTCGCACTTGACACACTTTTTATTCATTTCTGAAGAACCAAGCTTAAATATGCAGTTTTTAGAATTATAAATATTAATGTTCAACCCAGCTATTTCATGTAATTAATAAATGAGCTAAATATATACTTCCGACCGACACATAATTTATATAGTTATATGCAGGAGATACAACCGAGTGTGTCTAATGTGGCTAAGGCTCTGCAGCTTTCGTTGACATACCATTAATGAATATAAGCTCATTGCTTGGGATGATCTATCATGTGATTTCATTTGCTCAATAATTATTTAATCCCATTTATTTTACCAATATTGGAATCCGTTTTTATAGAGAGAAATTTGAATTTGCCTGTTTTTCTTTTATGCCATATTAATCTTGTATTTTATGAAGCATGAAATTACTTCATTATCTCAAATAAACAAGATTTAATTTATCAAGCGAAAAAAGGATTACAACTTAAGTGAATAACTCATTTTTATTTCCAAAAATTTCGATATCAACAACAATACAGTAAACGATGGTTTCAAAGCTCAGTTATGAACATCGAGTCTTAATTGATTATTGAATATTTTCTTTTCATATTTGTCTCTTAATTTCAGTTTTGGGACATTTGTGGGATTTAAACCGTCAGTGGCAGGAGGATGATGCACTGTCAGTGGCACTAGGATGATGCACTGTCAGTGGCAGGAGGATGATGCACTGTCAGTGGCAGGAGGATGATGCATTGTCAGTGGCAGGAGGATGATGCATTGTCAGTGGCAGCAGGATGATGCGTTGTCAGTGGCAGGAGGATGATGCATTGTCAGTGGCAGGAGGATGATGCATTGTCAGTGGCAGGAGGATGATGCGTTGTCAGTGGCAGGAGGATGATGCATTGTCAGTGGCCGGAGGATGATGCATTGTCAGTTAGGATGATGCGTTGTCAGTGGCAGGAGGATGATGCGTTGTCAGTGGCAGCAGGATGATGCGTTGTCAGTGGCAGGAGGATGATGCATTGTCAGCGGCACTAGGATGATGCGTTGTCAGTGGCAGGAGGATGATGCATTGTCAGTGGCAGTAGGATAATGCATTGTCATAAAAAAAGTCGTTCCTGACTTGCCAGAGGTTGTTAATTAAGCTGAAACATTATCCGAATATGCAGGAGCAAACGAAAAGTCTCAACTTCTATAACCCGTCTGAATTCAGTTCATTCAATGACCATTAAATATGTCAAGTCTGAATTAATATAATGGATTCAAAATCAATTCCATGTATTTTCTATCTTATTTCCTATGACTTTTCACGCACTTTCCAAACGTGAGTCTTCGAAGAAATCGAAAACCGCTGTGCAGGCGACCGGCGAAGAGTCGCGCGTATCGTTACGACCGTAGCTGGCGCGCGCTTCAACGGCTAGCGCCGTCCGCCTGCACTGTTCTGGCTCCACTTAAAGGGAAGACTGTGAATTCATCCGTCGCCATATGAATTCATCTACTTCTTTCGGTAATTCATCCACTTTTTCAGGGTAATTTCGGCGTTAGCTGTAACCATGCATCCATTTTCAAACCCCAAGTACATACCAGTAACCTAATTATGCGTATAGCGCTCCTTTTATAGCGGCATAGCGCTCTTTTTATAGCGATATAGCGCTCTTTTTAGACCGGTCATTTCCTAAAATCATTTCTCTTTCTTGCCACTCTGTTTATTTTTTGTTTATTCCCAATATTTCCTAATAGAATCGCATCCTCATAGTAATCACATATTTTTATTTCGATATTAGAATAGAATGAACATTGGTCACCAAAGTTTCTTCGGAGCTCTGCTAGTCCTCAGCTCCAACGTTTCTAGTCATCGGAATCTTTTTCTCGACTTCTACGCATGATCAAGAACACGCATTCAAAATTAAACAACGAACAAGGCCATAGAATAAGCAGTGATTAATGGTTGATGCTTACGGTATCAATCTAGCTCATACAGAAGAGTTCGTTCATTTGTTCTTGATGGAACAGCATTTCGGTGCTCGGGATACTTTTTGAAACGAAATAATGTGTGAAATATTTTATTTAATACAAGGTTGGTTTTTTTAAACGGATCAGAAAAAAGGTAATTATCGGTCTTATGTTTTGAACCGTTTTTCAAGCGTAGAAAAACACATGATTTATCGATGAATCAATGTGAGATATAGATTTTAATGAGTATATAGGACATAGTGCTACTTTCATCACTTATTCTTCGTTTATTTCCAAATGACACAGTATAACGAGACCCAAATTTTTCGATGGCAATTTAATAACTTATACTCTTTACACTGAGCATATATTTTACCGGCTATTTTTGTGTGAGCGGAAATAAGTGAAATTTATTTCAGGCACTGCTTCAATAATTTACGGCCAGGACAAATAAAGAAAAAAAATGTCGTTTCTAATTTATTGCAATACGAATAATCCGCGCCGTGGTTACTGAATAAATCAGAAACATCACCACAACAATAAACAGGTGCATCAGAGAATTTATTTTTAGAACATTACAAACTTAACTGAAGCAAGCTGAAGTAGCTATTTTAAACTTTCGTCAGTCATGAAAAAAATACAGTCAAATGACACGATTTCGATCTTCTGTGAACAAGGCACGAAAAGGAAAAGAATCGGCGACAGGCCACATCAGGCCTACGCTGCAGCGCCGAGATCACTATGTTATGTTATGTTATAACGTATCGTTACGAGAAAGTATTTCTCCTAAAACGTTCAACTCCCACAAAGTGAACCAACATCAACGCTAACCTCATTTTTGTACACTCCCGACCATATTTTCCACAAGAAAAAGGAGTTCTCAAATCGTGACAACGGAGTCTTTCACGGATGTTTGATACGAAAAAAAAGAGAATTTTCAACCTCTTCAAGGGCGTTTATAAATCAGACAAGCTTTGAGGTACTTACATATCAATTTTCACTATAATATCGATAATTTCCACATTTTAAATTTAGTTAAATAATGCATAATTATTTAATTGATTAGAATGAAATCCTATAAGGTCTCTTACATCGTTCGTTTATTTACTGTAGTGAAATGAAATAGATATAGTGCGTGAAATGAACTTCGCATGCTCCCAAGTGCGACTGTATTTTGCTCTTGTGAAGAAATTGCCGTCCAAAACATTCAAGAACCCACAATTTCGCCGCCAATAGGACGTTGGAAGCGAGGGTCGCTAGTGGACGAGTGGCACCTGTGAGAGATAATAATAGAACTTTATTGAGACAATGCAAGAAGAAACATGTAGTAGTTCGTTATTCTGAGATGTTCCGATTTTCATTTGCAAACATGTCACTCTAGAATTCCTTTCCGCTAAAATGCGCGTCATGCACTTACGTAACTATAACTATAGCTTGTATATCAACTGTAGTGTTTACAACAAGCAAATTTGACTCTGAATTACCAGAAATAGTCAGTCAATCTACAAAGTATTAGTTAGGTTGTGACAGACCTATGATAGCTTCAAGGAAATAGGAATTGGAATTGGGTGCGTACTGACCTCCGGTTAAAACCTTTAGGTCGGCATTCACGCTGCATAAAAATCTTTTACTAGCGTAAAACAAAAAAAATTAAAAGTTCACGTCCCACTTTGCACGTTCAATTCATTGAACGTGCAATTCAAAAACGTTCAATTATTTGGTATTTACTACAATCCTAATAGACTAAAACCTTCACTTTCACATGTTGACATCCTAAAAATACGGAAACAATGTCCTAAAACATTCCGCACGGTCGCCTTTGCCTTCCTATACCCTCCCCTCTCTCAACCAACTACTATTCAAAACCCACTCTTATCATCCCCCTCCTCTCTCTCAACCTCTACACGTTCTCCAAACATTTTTTTACACTGTCAAACACAGCTACAGTCGCTCCCTCAGACAGACCCACGATCATTGGCATCCACTCTTCGCTAGTTTTGTCATATCCCACTTCGTTAATCTCACCTCACTCATTCAGAATTACATCCAGCATAAACTGTCGCTTTCTTTCATACGCCCCACATTCCATCAAGTGTTCCACAGTTTCCATCTCATCCCCACCACTCATAAAACATTTGTCTTCCCTCATCTCATTCCACCTGTATGTACATCCATTCACACCCAGTATTATGTAGTATGTAGCTTGCACATAATTATCTTATTAAACAACATTACTAAAGACTAACCTGGACCACTAGCCACTAGCCCCTACGTTACTAGCCTCCATGACTCTAGCCGCCGGCGACGTCCTGTCTGCCGGGGTCAGCGCGGCCGGTGGCCGGGGCTGAGTCATAGTAGTGCGCAAATGCCGGGTCGTTGGCGTACCAGCCCTCGCTGGGATAGGACAAGACAATGAAAATGTCATTAGTCAAATATAGAACAGAGCATTAGGGAGGATGTTTGCTTGAATTTAAGGTTTATAGACGTGACAAATAAATTGAGCACATTCATCATTACAGCAAACTTATATACAGGACACAAGAAATTCACTTTCTAACTCTATTCTACTAATTTAGATGTAGTCATAGATAACACTCTCACATGGCAGGAGTGTTCGTGGAATGGACACTCACCATTCAGGCACGGTCTCGGGCAGGGCGCAGATCATAGAGCGCTCATCGAAGACCAGTCCCTTGTCACATGAAGCCTCCTGGGGCGTCTCGCCATTGAGACACACATAGAACTTGGAGCAGTCGTCGGCGTTGGGGAAGGAGGGGTGGGGCACCGCAATACCGTTCGCGTCCAAGTGGGTTCCGCCGGGACACGAGAAAGCCCCATCGCTGGACACTATTGAGGAAGACAGGGTACGTGTGAATCTGCTGGTGAAATAATAAGCTGTTGATGCGTTAGACTTTCAGGCTCATTTAAGAGACGCGGGAAAATTCATTATCGATCAGTTGGGAAAATTTTTCGAGCACAAAACTAATCTACAATAGACATGCTTGGAGATCAATTTTATATTTATAAGGGTTTTGGGCTTTGAGATGCGGCCAAGTAGATTTCTTCATACAAATTTTCGTTCATCAAAACGTATTACGTGCGAATTTTACTCACTTTTCGGCTTGTCGACACATCCTGTCCTCTGAGAAATTGCAGGCCAGTTGCAGGAGCCCTGCGTGCTGTTGAAGTACAGGCCGGTGGCACAGGTCACCTCTGTGTGTACGCCGTTCACGCACTGGTAGTACACGTTGCACACCTTCGGGTCTGGGTGCTCAAAGGTGCCGTACTTGCGAGGGCAAAACTCGTTCGGGAAAGTTGGTTCCTCTGCGGTGAGAATGTAAATGGTTTGATAGACGCATAGTTTGAAATGGTTACAATAATTATAGTATGAAATAGTTTGAAATAAATATTGTTTCAAGTTCTTTGAATGATTCATAGTTTGAAATATATATAATATGAAATAGTTTGAATGACTTATAGTTTAAAATAGCTCAAAATAATTGCAGTATGAGAAAATAGTTTGGAGGACTTATAGTTTGACATAAATTGAAAGATTTATAGTTTGAAATAGTTTGAAAGGGAAATCACGACTGTCAAAATAGCAAGAGATATTCGGAGAGAAGATACCCATAATGCTGAAAAATTGCTGTTTTCCATAATTCAGCCAAAAATTTACCAAGTAATTTATATTTAGTGAATTATAAGAACCTCCTGAGAAAAGGAAATTCTGGAAAGACATTGAAAGATTTATTATTGAATTAAAATATTGTAAATAAATAATTATTTAATAATGATCAATTTCAATATTGAAATAATAAATTGAAGCGACGGACGAACATTTCGATCTCCCATGAATTCCCTGCTAAGTAAGGCATTTATTATCGTTAATTGAAAGTAAATGCTGTTGTTAATTTCTTTCACGCTTTTAGCATGAACAATTTCAAGAATCATAATTAATAATAAAATTTAATAGAATTTCCGGACAACTCAGGAACTTCGGCATAACTTGAAGTCATGCTTTTTTTATTCACTTTAATTAGAAAGTATTCGTGACATACTTCACCTAGTTTTTTCTTTTAATTCAAAATAGTTTATTTCTGAAGCTAAAGGAATGAAATAAATATATTGTTATAGGTTATGTAAAGGTTTCAGAACAAATGATTTGTAATCATGCATGTTCCAATCTACATGAGTGTTCCTGCAATTCTTTCCTAGAAATCATGGAAATGCCTGGAAATATATTCAGTATTGCAATGCCTAACGTCAAAGTTCACCAAATAAAACCAGAGCCCAGCTTTCCTGTTTTCTCAGAAACGATCACAAAAACTTTTCAGATGCACAATTGATAATATAATAATTGATAATTATATAATGATAATTCATTGATAATCTCACGCAGCTCTTGTCGAGTCCCGCAGTGGACGACGTGTGGTGTATCACAGGGATCAGCATGCCCAGCCTTTTTAGGGTCGAAAACTAGACCATCCTCACAGAACTTCTCGGTTGCGGCGCCATTCTTACAGACCCAATAGGCATCACAGAACGTGGCGTCCTCGTAGACCCCTTCAGACTCAGGGCACACGGCCTTGTTGGTCTGGTCGAAGGTAATTTGCAATGGAACCTTCTCCTCGGGCGCCTGCCGGTCAGGGTTGAAAACCAGTTGGCCTGTGCACGAGAAAAATAAAAGTATAATCAATTCTGCTATAAAGAATCAGGTAAGGTTGCACGAGCAAAGGGCACGAAAGAAAACATAATCTATGTCTAGTGAAGTGATGCGAGGCTTTTGCACTGCTTTAGTGACACGCTTTAGACTTCGTTTAAATATCGACAAAGTCCAACTTGAGATCGACAAATTAATAGTAAAAAAATATAACTCAGTACCTCCCTGCAGTGAGTGACAGAGAGCGCATTTATTCTCGTCGACGAAAACGAGAAGTCACGGACGGACAGACAGACGGACGGACAGATGAACATGGCGAGCACAATAGTGCATTTTTTCCATAAATGAGAAAATGCGCTATAAATATAACAAATTTGATAAATAGCGAAGAACAGGAGCAATGATGAAAACAAAAGCTTAGTAATATTATCAAAAACTTTAGGCACTACATATAGCTCCATTGTCATTCACAACTTTGACTTTGAATTGGTCGGAAAAAAACGTTGGAAAATTTTGAAATAGCAGGAATATTTCATAAGTTCGGTGCACATGAAATTCACAGCTTGCAAAATGGGCCTTCTAGGAAACAGAGGTGCGTCGGTTTCTCATTACCTTCTCACTGTAGTAGCCTTCATCTCTAAATTCTTTATTCACGCTCAATATCAAATTACATCAAGCAAGATAACTTAGTATCATAGTGGAGGCGATAAAAGATATGAACTGCTCCTAGCTTGAGTCAACGAACCAAATTTTAGAAGGGAAGGAGTGAGTTTTTAGTCTGATTAACGACCTTCTCTTAGGCCTAATTAATAATGACTTGCACGCAGGCTGCCTCGTTTGCATCTTACGAAGCAACAAGTATTCGAAACATGCAAGGTTTATTTCAACCTTCTATCTACAGAAGCACTAAGCATCATCTATGTTGTTCGTACCTAAAGGCCTGTTTACCAGAGTTACCGTCAGAATATAAAGGGTTAAGTTATTCAGTCAGGATTATGCCCTCTCGACGCGCGCTAGGTAAAGGTCGGTCAGGCACTTGCACTGACCTGATAGCTAGGCACAGACCGGTTCCTGCCTGGCCTGCTGCTGCCTTTAACCTGCCACTCTTTATGCTAACTCAAGGCTTCAGTCGTGCAAGAATTTTTTGCCTTCATTTCTTAAAGGTAAATGCTGAGGTCAAAGAAGTACAGTGGACAAAAGCCTGATACAGGAACAGAAAATAGCATGCAAATAATAAGTAAAAATACTTTCACATTCACATAAATTATTTTAAATAACCAACGGATTTTTGAATGACTTTTTCGTGAGTAAGCACCGTGAGTCCTGCCTGCGGAACGACGTACGTAAATAATTTGATGTCTTGTGAGTAATAGCAGTATAATCTGTCAATTTCTCGCCATGCAGCAGTAGACTGATTATTTCCTGATGCCATTAGACGCTTAGACAAACCGTCGACGTCGGCTGTCCTCAGATCAACGTAGTTGATTATAATACTTATTGCAATTACCATATCAAATGGCTACTGCAACCCGCATCACAATGGCTACTGCAACCCGCATCACAATGGCTGCTGTAGCAACATCACAATGGCTGCTGTAGCAACATCACAATGGCTGCTGCAACCCGCATCACAATGGCTACTGCAACCCGCATCACAATGGTTGCTGTAGCAACATCACAATGGCTACTGCAACCCGCATCACAATGGCTATCTGCAACCCGCATCACAATGGCTGCTGCAACCCGCATCACAATGGCTACTGCAACCCGCATCACAATGGCTACTGCAACGCACATCACAATGGCTAACGCATCACAAGGCAGCAACGCGCATAATAAAATGTACTGTTTAATAAATCTTGCAGATGAATGAGGCATGATGCAAGGTACAAAATAGATCTGCATTAAGTATTACGTGCTGTTGAAAGCAAACACAACAACAGAAAAGGCATTGGTTAGACTAGAATTTGAAAATTTTTTAAGCCTCGTCATGTATACATGGAATGATTTTTCTTGTTAAAATGATTTTTCAATTTTTTTAATACAAAAAATTTTATTTTTCAAAATTATTTATTCTGTCAATTGATTCATGCATTGCCTTCGACTTCCAACAAGTGTGCAAAATTTCAGATCAATTGGACAGGTGACATAGAAAAAGGAAGTGCAAAATTTTTCGGCATTTATTTATTTACAAAACTAATGAGACTTGCTTATTAATAAAATTCATTTTAATTTAGTTGCAATTGTCGGTAAATTCACCGGAATCAAAACAAGCTTCTTATACACGAAAAATGCCACATTCATGTTCATTTAAGGGTTCTATGGTCAAATCATTAGACCAATTACAGTTTCTATAATATTTATTTTATTTATACCAAACGGACTGCTTTGCAGTTATACTAGGCAGTTAACCTAGTGAAAAAGTGGCCATGTAACTAATCGTTATGCAAGCAAATATTCACATTTTATCGCAGTTATTTCAATAACGAACGAAGAAAACTTTCAACTGATTCAGAAATCCTGTTGGTATTTAACAAACAGTAGCTTTAAATAATTGAGAAATTGTCTGGATTTTTAATTAGATTTTTCAATAATATCTAATTATTCTAGAACAGCAAATGCCATCGACTAAAAGCTTAAAACGCTTTGTTTCCTGATCAATTAACTCACTGTTCAGAATATAAAATGGCATTGTATTCGTAAGCCATAAATCCATTATTGAGTCCCTCAACTAAAGGTGGCAACTTAGGGACCAGGCAATAAGTCCAGCAGCTATCTCAATCAATCGTCAGTTACGGAAAGATCGGGTTACAAAGGCCGGATCCCTTGTGAATCAAGTCACGAAAAGTACAAGAATCAGCAACAAACCATGGGCCTATTTCTTCAGTGCCGACATTTCTATTCTATTCTATTCTATTCTATTCTATTCTATTCTATTCTATTCTATTCTATTCTATTCTATTCTATTCTATTCTATTCTATAAAGGTATTGCACGGCTGACTCTAACGTCACGCGATCGTGTTGGTTCGAGCGCTTTCCACCCTCGTCGAGCTTTGCTTTCTAAGCCAACGAAGACCGCGACGCTGTCACGCTTTCCCGCGGCGCTGAGAAGCGTGTGCTTCGTCTGAACAAACCATGTCTATTGTCTGCATCTGCACGAGGTTAGATGAGAAGCTCAAGCAGATCATTCAACGGTGAAGATTCTTTAATATATTATATGATAAATTTCATCATAAAGCTAAGTTTTATAAAATACCTGACTTTTCCCATGTATTTGGATGCGGGAACATTGTGATAGCGATCTACGTTGTCATTCTGTGTTTTTCGCTAGATGAAGTACATCAGCAGGTGATTAGTATGATCCTCATTTGTCCACTAATTGTGAGCAATACAAATAGTATCCAAATCTTTCAGTTTCTATTCTAGACCAAACTATCTGCACTTTTCAACGTTAGTCACTTTGAGTTGGTGAAAAATACTACATCAAAAATACCGCTGCTCAGCGTCATTCAAGTGTTTAGATAAAACTTTTGACTTTCAATTCAAATAAAAAATATTTTGTTAGCACAATATGTCGGAAAAATAGGAATAAGAAACTCAAGCTCGTAGTCCGCTAGCATTTCTAGGAAGGAACGCAAAATTTTACAAAATTGACAAATCAACAACATGCAAAAAACGGACAGCATGAAAGCCTCAGCTCATGCAGGCGCAGTCGCATCGTATTAGAAACTCAGACGTTGGAAGAGATTTTGATGTATGAGACTGAAATTCAACGCATAAATTTGATTTGAACACTAATTTTCTTGGTGGGGTCATGAATAAATGGAGTAGTTCCTTGAGACTGTACGATTGAAATCGTTTCTGTATACGTGAATTACCCCAGCAATAAACTATTAATAACCACGTATGTTTCACTAGGAACAATGTGTTGCTACCAAAGTCTTCACGTACGTTATGTTTGATATTGGATGTTACTGAAGAAATTATCGAAATAATTACGTCAATACACGCTTAAATCGTACATCGAATTAAAAAAACTTAAGATTAATTGTTTGTTAAACGTGATTGTTCTTTAATACGCAGCATAGATGCGCAAGATTGACAGCTTTTCAATCCAGCACTAGGAAACGGATCTCTAGTCCAGCGCCTTTAGGGATCACTTGAAGGTTCCAAGGCATATGTGCAGTAAACAGACTCCTCTTATTCATAAAAAAATAAACCTTAAATTATTAGCATGAATACCAATGCGCAAACGACGAATAACTTCGAGTTCAATGTAAGCTCCGGTAATTTAGTTACATCTTAAATATCGCAAAATAAAATGAACGCTTCGATGGTGCGTAAAATTTTTGCTGCTCAGGTTTGATTTTGTTGAAGATGGTTATAGAAAATTTAATTTTGCTGCGTTCAATAATATTATAATCGACTTTATCATCATTAAGGCATTCTGTTCACCTTGACACCTTTCTATTTAACAGACAATAATACGGTACAATATTACAGAACTCAGTTGAAGGACGTGAAAAAGAACATATCTCTGTACTCTAACATGTCATTACAGTCTTTGTAAACCTGAAAAATAAATTTGAAGATTGTAATTCAATGCAAAAAACTTTACATAACTTGACGTTAAAGTTATAGCAAAACTGAAACATAAATTTGATGATTGTTATTTAATGCAAAAACTGTAAAACTTACCGTTAACGGCGAAGAGGATCGTTGCCAGCGGCACGAGAAGCCAGACGGAGTGCGCCATGCCAGCGAGCCGAAGAACCGCGCCAGAGTGACACTAGAGCGGCGCCCTCAGCGCCGGCCTCTGCCTTCCCCTGTGGTGGTGATGGTGGGGAGTGGTGTGGTGGTATGGTGAGTGAGGTAAGGTGAACATTTTTGGGGTTATGGAGAGGTGAGTGGCGAGTAGTGATGGTGGTGAGTGGTTTGGTGGTGTGGTGAGTGAGGTAAGGTGAATATTTTGGGGTTAGGGAGAGGTGAGCGGCTGGTGATGGTGGGGAGTGGTGTGGTGGTGTGGTGAGTGAGGTAAGGTGAATATTTTTGGGGTTAGGGAGAGGTGAGTGACGAGTAGTGATGGTGGTGAGTGGTTTGGTGAGTGAGGTTCGGTGAATATTTTTGGGGGTTAGGGAGAGGTGAGCGGCTACTGGTGATGGTGGTGAATGGTGTGGTGGTGTGCTGAGTGAGGTAAAGTGAATATTTTTGGGGTTAGGGAGAGGTGAGTGGCGAGTTGTAATGGTGGTTAGTGGTGTGGTGAGTGAGATAAGGTGAATATCTATGGTGTTTGGGAGAGGTGAGTGACGAGTAGTGATGGTGGTGGGTGGTTTGGTGGTGTGGTGAGTGAGATAAGGTGAATATCTATGGTGTTTGGGAGAGGCGAGTAGTGAAGGCGGTGAGTAGTTGGGTTGAAATGTATGGTGAGTAGTGGCGAGTAGTGAAGGTGGTGAGTGGCTGCGGTGGTGAAGATTAAGGTGAGATCATTAGCAATGGCGTTTTCGAGAAAAGTGAGAGTGTGATGATGTTGATGCCCTGATGGTAATGGTTTTGTGGTGTACGACATCTCGAAAATATCTCGTGTAATAATGCGAGATGACCGCTAACTACTATGGCCCGGTATTTCATATTGATGGTGCATAATGCTATGGGTAATTTCGATTATTTTTATGTAGATCTTTTTGGTGGTGACCGTGGGTTGCGATCGAGGTGAGCGTTATTTGGTTAATTAAAAATAAAGCAATAAATATAGTAATCACAGAAAAATAATAATATATCAGTTTACAAAAGTAATATATAGTGAAAGGTGTAGTATGTATAAGCCTATTTTTTTCTCAAAATTCGGTTTAACCTCAATGTCTTCCACCTGTCGAATTAAGGAGCACTCATGAAACAAAAACACAATTAGTATTAGGAAATATAAATGAACATCAGAAACCAAGCAAAAAGATCAAATGATTAACATGCGCAACACTTGAATCAATATTAATTAGAATCCAAGTACTAAGCTTACTTTTACCAATACTAGTCTCATTCCACAACATACAACAGCGCGGACTAAAGTCCTATTTCGTTGTTTTCGCCATCGCCCTCTGCTAAGTGAAGGGATGAAGGATGTAGGCGAAGAAGAAGCTATTCGCAGGGACTAGAGATAAAAGCTTGCATATTGTGAAAGTTGTTTTGTGAAGGTTTCCTAAAGAGCAAACGATATGAGAAAAAATATATCGTGGCCCTAGAGATCCGAGCACGTGGTCTACTTCTGGACAAAAGGAGGTTATATCAAGGGATCAAAGTAATACGTTTGTTCGTAAGTCATACAAAACAAATTGGTTTGCACATCTTTCATTTTAGAATAACAATTATTTATACAATTCCAATAAATTTTTGGGCTGAAACATTCGCAATCGGCTTTCTCCAAGAAAATGTATTCAATGTTTATGTGGTATCAGGCCACGATCGCTTATAACACATGATTGAATTTTAATTTCTAATCGATGAATCAATCTATTTGGGACTGTGGAGTAATGAAGCTGCAGGGAAGTTGACGAACTGAAGCATCTGGCAACTCCAGGTCAGCTTCACTGCAGGCTACCGTCAGTGGTCAACATGGCGTCGTACGTGTTGGTGATCATCGCTCTCTCCGTAGTGTCTGGTAAGTACGATAGCACTCATAAAACATGTAACAATTCCACAGCATCATGCAGCCAAATAAATATTCTAATCTGAGTTAATAAAAATCATACGAAGTACATTTCACTAAAGGAGCCATTACACAATTTCTTCAGTCACCACCGAAAATTTCCTCACAGAATTTTTGCACAGCGATTTTGTCACCTCCCATTAAACGTGTTTCTTTGTAAGGAAATTCTGCACGTATTTCTTATGAGATCTTAAAGGTCAATCAATTTTAAGATCAGTGATAGTATATATGAAGGCTACCATATATTTTGAAGCATTCTTTTACATTCTTAGAGCATTCGCTTCGATTCAAGCTGAAATTATACTACTTTTCGACTATATATGGAGTATCAATGGATATTAAATACAACGATTTCTTCAAAACTTATGAGAAGGAATAAGTAATAAACAACTCGTTGGATATGCATAACTCGATCGTTACTATTATTTCCATTAAAAATTTAAGAATAAAAATAACTAAAAAATCAATAGTCAAGTAAAATAAATTTTTTCAATTAAAATTTTGAAGACCCTTTCCAACTTTTACAAACAAACCTCATCCAGACTGATGAGATTCTTGAATAAAAACGCGTCTATTTCACTTGAAATTTCCTGTAGAATATATTATATGGTAAAGCGGTTAATTACCAGCACTTCATATGGTCAGTGCAATTTGAACATCGACGTTGATGCTTATTAATAGAAGCTGTTTCTTATCATTTATTACATGCTATTATTAAAAAAATTGGCAATTATTCTGTGGAGTAATATTGACTTTTCTCGTTGACGTTCAATAATAATTAGAAACAGCGATTATCAAGTTTACGGCTACAAAACACAGTATATTAGCAATCGATATTTCACTTGTAATTAAAATGAGGATAACTACTTAAGGCCCGTCCAACTCTAATTATGATGGAGGATAACTACTTATAGGGCATCCAACTCTCTAAACAGAAGAGGATAATTGATGATGGTGCATCCTACTTTCCAAGTGCAATCAAAGTCGCTGATTCAGGCAGTCACTTAACCTTCTTTGCCTAATAACTCCTCAAAATTCGAGCGATTCTGCGAAAATTCGGTAATTTTTTGCAGAAAAATGCTGTTGCGTGAGACCAGTTTAATTAGGTGTTATGCCGTACGCATCGTAGTAGGTTTTTACATTAATTTAGTCTGAAATAATTAATTTAGTCTTGATAAAAAATCGTGCAATATAGCAAATAATTATTTTCCTGTGATTTAGGAAGTTTTTCGGCATGATCATTTTATTCATTTCGGAAAATCATTTCAGAAGCTCCAATATCATAAAAAATTGTCGTATACTTGGAAATAAAACTTTTAGCGTTCTGAAAATCACGGAATTAGACTCCATAAATATTTTATTTGTTTATATGTCCTATTTCAAGTTGTGCTCAGCAAACGGGAGCTGTCCATATTTGGCCCTCTGTTGTCATTGGGTAGAGAGAGCATTTTTCTTCCCTCCATATTGGGCGTCGGGGGATGTAACTTTCTGCCAGGGCTTGGAAGAAAATCACTTCTGCGCAGCTCGTATACGGAATATTATATTTCCATCAGCGTATAAAAGAGAAACGACTTTTCACTGAGGCCAGGAAAGAAAACGCGCGTTGTCGATAGCAGCGATAGGAGGCCTCACCTCGCCTCTGGGCCGTGAACGCGAAATAGGAAAGTTCACTTGCACATTTGTTCCTAAAGATTTCTGAAAGTTTAATTCCCTTAACAGGATGTAATTCTTAATATTATACTATAAGAATAAATCCAGCGATAAATTTTGATCTGCGATCTGATCTTTACTTCATGAAAACGAAACAACGAAAGTAATTTTAAGCGAAACGAAACACACGCTGGGCCGAACCTCTCAGGTTTTGCAATCACTTTCTCCACGTTGTTTTCAGCCTCACATAATGTGATAGGGAGGAAGTAGTTTAAGGAATTGTGACTTCAAATGTGATTTTATTTGTACCCTACAAATCATCTTCATTAAATAAAAAATAAAAGTTTGGTTTTTCAAAAGTTTACTTGTATGTGGGTTGATAGAGGGTTAAATTGTTCATTTGGAATACATATTAATTATTCAAGGAAAATATGCAAAATATGCATATATTCGAAAGAAATTTTTTCTTCAATACGAGAAGGAGCTCCATAATCCCATTGATAAACATATATCGATCGCGTTGAGCTCACAACCGACAACGATCGAATTCGCTGAGTTTGACGTTAGCTTTGCGCATGCAGATTTCGTGGGTGCACAACATGCTTTTGTTCTAAATATCCCTTCAAGATCCTTTTCCTACGTGACCATGTGAGCTGACTAGAGCCGCACCTCAATGACCGTAGGTTCAATGCACCATATATCTTGGTTGCAAATACTAAACTTCGCCGATTCTGTTCGTTCCTGTAGACCGGTTAACGCGAGTTGCCGTTGAAATGCTTAATGTCTTCAAACTAGAATTAGAAGACTTGCGTCGCTCGAGTGATAGAGCAAAGGCATGGATTGCAAGAATGCAGTTGTCAGCAATAACAAATAAATTCTATAATTGATGCATTCAAATAAAACCTCTGATATTTTCTCGCGAAAGTTCCAACCATGTTTACAGGGATGATCAGGTTGATCACTCTTATTTGGAACTCCAAGTTTCGCCTTCAGATGCTTGCACAAGAAGCAAAAATCAAGCTCTGTGATGTATCATTTAAATTTTATACATCCACAGTAATTCATTGATTGAAAATTTCTACTGCTCGTCTTTGGCTTCTAGCCTGACCCTAATTTCTATTTCTCTTATTCCAAGGGTCAAAATTGAATAGTAATTTCACAATTTGATGTGATGCGCTCAGCTACATAAACTATGAAGCTTCTGCAGTACATGGGCCTTACAATTACAACTTAAGCTCTTCTCGCGTTAGACATGCAGTAAGCGTGAAATATTATATGACTAACCCACTCAGACTGCTAAACTAATTACCAAAAGCTATTGAATATCAAAACTCCTTGCAACAGACGCAGTGAGGAGTTATGCAGATGCATCTATAAGGAAGTGAAAGCAATTCCAAATATCAGATGGCAATTTTATTACACTTTTTCCTAGGCAAGATGTACACGTATAATCTAGACACATATTATAGTATTTACTCTCCTTTTCGTAGCAAATTGTTTTCTTCTTCCGATGCGACCGTCGCTGGCCTTACAGCTCGAATTTCGAGTCGATCCAGCCGCCTCTCTTCTCCGTAAAATTTGATTACAGCTTGCATGATGATACAGCGATGTTGACAGCCGGGCACGTGGATAAAGTTTCAGCTGTCGTCACACTCATGGTTGAATTAATATAGTGTATTAATTCAACCATGGTCACACTAGTGTCAGACGTAAAGCTATGTAAAGTATGCCGCTTATTACGCATATGTTGCTGACCTTCGCACCATCGTCTGCTCCGAGAACTGACATCGCTTTATTTAATATCACATGAAATTGACCTTCATGAAGAAGGATGTTTCCATTTACAGAAGCTGGCATTCTATTATGTGTTGCAATCGGACATTCATGTACATACAACTCACCTATACGAGGCCGTCTGCATGGAGATGACGACATTTTCTTAGAACTCAGCCAGGAAACAATTGGTAAAACGAGTCATTTTATCTAGAATTCGTTCATGCAAATGATAGAGGAAATAAAGGAATCTGAGGTTTAACTGATTGAACTGAAAAGTAAATTTAATATCTAAAAACATTTAGCATCACTGCAGAGAGCATTTACACGTCCCTAAATTGCTTTTGGCTTTGGACGGCTTGCTACAACCGACGCTCATTGTTTCTCCTCGAAGGCGATTTTTTTCCCAACTCTCAACACGAAGCAGCAAGTTCTGGGAATGCATCGTACTGAGAAACAATTGGCTCTTCCCAAATACAGCTACGTATATGACGAAATATTTTTCGTGACTTATGAGGAAATTTAGTATGGAATTGAGGTTATTTTAGCGTATCATACGCTGATTTAGTTACTTCTTGTTCGAGTTTTTTTACTCAGCATGATTTGTGGGTGTCAAAATTTCGTTCGAATAAATCCATATTCAATTCTTTGGTGATTCTGCCAAGGCAAATTTGTGAATTTTGTTACCAAAACATGCGACGTTGTCACGTTGTATAAGATGAGTCCACTCCTGTATAGTTTTGCATAGAGCCGTACTTGTGTTTCTTAGGCAGGAAGCTTTCCTTTTCCAGCTTACAAAGGTCGCGACGTGGTTAAGAATGCCACGGTTGTCAGTGAATGTTTTCAAGTAAATGTCGCGGGGAAAAGCACTGCGGCAACCGACGTTTGGTTGCACGCATACGCAGAATTTCAACCTCTCGTCGAGAAGTTGGGTGGTCTTAAGGCGGCTGCAGATAAACGTGTCTCTCAGTTATTTGACACTTGTTGTGCTCTGTAAAGGTTAATCTAAACTAGAATAACCTTCACAATTGATATTTTTGTTGCGTCAGAGTTTTATATGGGCCAATACAATTAAAGGTACATGAAAATTAGTCGAGACAAATCAAAGAAGGAGTTTGTTATAAGTGAATTCATTTTTCAACTTCCTTTATTCATTCTTCTTTCTTAGTTAATTATGTAATGTTGGAAACTCTGAATATTTTGCTTTAAAAAATTACTTGTTTCAATGACATAGAATACAAAATATTCTGTAATATTGCATTCATATCAAGATAATAACGAAGCTCATACATGAAAGATTTGGAACAGAGAACCAACAGAGCCATTTGCTTCGACCTGATTTTACAACAATTCAAACTGCTAAATGGGTAGTTGAAGCAATTAAAAAAAAAAAATCTTTTGACTAGCCATTATTTTTAGGTTCAGCATTACTCACATATAAAATTTTTTATTTATGTAAAATTATCTGCCGTAATTATTATGTACTAGCAATGAAACCTCATAAATTTTGAAAAAATGTTCGAAAAACAACTTAACGCACGAAATCTTGCTTTCATTCTTGGCTTTAAATTTCAAAGTCGTAAAACTTTAAGCAGAAATCTGAATGAATGAAGCAGAAACCTGAGAATGAAGAAGAATAAATCTGTTTTTTATACCCGCAGACGCCGAAAAATCACGTTGTCCCATTAGGATGAGTGACACATGATCGTGACTCGCATCCTTGTGGCACACATTGATGAGTGACACCCTTTTTACACACATAATGACCTCACACTTTAGTTCCCCGGACATCTTTTGACTGGAAACCTTTCTTTTCCGCACCCGCGAGTTACGGCGTATTAATCCTGAAAAAACATTCCGTCGTCTTCAAAAAACAGCGTCGTCTTCAATGAAGATCTTATGGGCATCTTTCCTATAGGAATCCTTTATTTTTCTTCCATAAATCTTCAAGAGATATGTAGGCCTGGAAATGCGTATACGATCTATTTCCAAATGCATACACAGCCACGACTAACACCATTACAACCCCATTCTGATACACAAGATATTGAAAGTTGCGATCTCATTTTTTATCGCGTGTGACCGTTTTACTGAGCAGCTGGGCGTAGGCAATGCGACATTCTCAGGTGCCTTCAAGAGTCGAATCCTTAAACCGTTCCTCAAGGCTACTTTCAGTTTTCACGTTCTACTTCCTCCTTGCGCTAACTTTTGTTTGCTTGCCGTGTAGCTACAAGACAGGGTAGCTTCTATAGTTTGTACGTGACAATGGGTGTACTGTGTGGTGCTTGCTTGCATTGAAGTGAAGAGGAAAGGTAAGTTTGTTGTTGTCATGGCTTCGTTGGATGGACACGCTGAAAATGTCAAGTATTCACCTTAAATGAAACAAAACTGATTGAAGACAGTTACTTAAATCATTTCTATATTATTTCAGCAAATCTTTGATTTTTTAGGTATATTTGAATGATTATCGCCTGGCACAAGTTGGTGAGGTTTATGGCAAACTTAAAATGATAACCTGATAATACCAGTGTTTAAAATAATTATTTCCACTAATGAAGCAATATTTGGTTTTAATGTTATTTTTTATTGATTTAATGTTTATTTTCATGCTCAATGTAGTTTCATGGATTTTCTGTTCTCTTAGGATTCAGGGCATTTAAGTGACAACCACTTCAAATTTGAATAAACTAATATTTTTTGCATGTTGTACACATACGGAGACAATTTTTAGGAGCGACACCTACAGTTTAACAAAAATTCCGAATTGCTGACTCTACAACGCCGTATTTTCTGTGAAGTATAAAATATTTTCGAAAGTGTTTCGAAATACATATATTGATATTGACATTCATGGGCTCTGTGGCTCGCAACACTAAGGAAGAAGACCCGATACGTGTTCACAAATATATTTTGCATTCTAGGTGATGACGTAATGTATCCATATTTACTTGTTTAGGCTCAAAGTTCGATCATGTTTCAATAAATCTTAAGTGAGACACTAAACTATAACGTGCCTAGCATTCAAACATATTAGCGTCACAACAATTTATTTTTTCATTGCGAGTGCAAACTGCGTATCTCTCAAATTAATAGAATAAAATTCTCCAAATAATATTTGTATTTTTTACAGTGGGTGCCCAAGATGTCGTGTCGGACTGTCCGATCTCGGACGGGTATTTCGCGGACTCGCTGCAGTGCGACAAGTACTACGAGTGCATTGATAACGTGCTGACGGAGAAACTCTGCCCCGATGGCATGGCCTTCAATGACCTCAACCATCGTGTCGAGAAGTGCGACTACATTTACCAAATTGACTGTGTTGACCGGCCAGAATTACGTGAGTTGCGTGCATGCTGCTTTGATTGCTTTGATTGCTTTTTGCGTCTCTTAAACACAAATTCAACACGAGTTACGAATTTTTGTCGACGGTTGTTTTCATCAATGAAATTTTCTCGTTCATTACAAAAGGCAAACAAATCTCTCCTTCAGTCTTTATTTTCCAATATGAGCTGTTCTTGAAAATTTTCATGTACATTTATCACTTGATCGCATTTTAAAGTCTGAAAATAAGTTTTTCTTCCAAAAATACTTTAGAAGCTCCGTGTCACTCAGTATCCGCCTTCAAAAAATGATTCTAGCGACTCAATTTAGACACAATTTACTAGATTAAATTATTGTCGTTTTGCTGTTCAATCGCCTATACTCTGCCTCTCATACTGATAAGCTCATCGCACACTTTCAATGCAATGAAATAAATTTTTTTAATACTTTACTTAAATGCTTTTCTTGGTATTCGCTTTAAAAATCTTTGCTTATACTCGTTAACTATCTTAATCATATCAGCTTTTTGATTATGCGGAGTTCTTACCATAAACTTTCTACAAATTAGATCTAAACATCAGCTTCAAAGTCTTACAATGTTGTACTTCAGTCTTTCACAAGTGTATAACTATAGCTCTTGGAGTGTATAACTATATGGGAGTGTATGACTATATTGGAGTGTATATCTAAACTGGAGTGTATAACTTATGGAGTGTATAACTATATTGGAGTGTATAACTATATGGGAGTGTATGACTATATTGGAGTGTTTATCTATACTGGAGTGTATAACTTATGGAGTGTATATCTATATTGGAGTGTATAACTTTATTGGAGTGTATAACATATTAGAGTGTATAACTATACTGGAGTGTATAATTATATTGGAGTGTATAACTATATTGTAGTTTATAACTATACTAGTGTATGTATATATGTAACGACCCCCAAGGTATTGGAGTGTATAACTATACTAGTGTATGTATGTAACGACCCTCAAGGTATTGGAGTTTATAACTATATAGGAGAAAATATTACCGTAATAACACATCCTGCAGAGCCGGCGCAGTCGACGGAGTTTTGCCCGCGCGCCAACGGTTACTTCGCGCACCCCGAGCCAGGCCGCTGCGACGAGTTCTACTTCTGCGCGAAGGGTGAAGGCAGTCACCTCACGTGCCCGGAGTCCCTTGTCTTCTCGCTGAAGACCGGCACGTGCGTCTGGCCCGACGAGGCAGGACGGACCGACGACTGCAAGTCCGGCAGTAAGTCAGAATTTTAAAAGGTTTGAAATTTTTTCAGGATTTATGGTATTATTTATGTAAATTCAGTCGTATTCGTATATTGGTTGAAACGAAAATTTTTAACTAACATATTTTAAGGTCAAAAAGTGAGCCTGAAATTTTGTAGCAAAAAGAAAGTCATTAAATTTATCACGTTTCAAAGTTGTAAAAGTTTCGAAAGTTTATTTAGAAAAAATTTAGGTCTTGCATGTCGGTAATTGAAAGAAACTTCGAATTTTCAGGGATTCTGCTGATCGAGTCCCTGAATATTCAAGTCCCTTAAATATCAAATATTCTATTATTAAATATTAAATTCTATATTAAAATATAAATATTCAGGGAATATTGAGTCCCTGAATATTGAATACTGAATTCAATGCAGTGGAAAGGTGCGTGCATCATCGTATAATTACGCTACAGAGAAATTAATAAATATTCTCATGTACAGACGTGGTGAACTTCACATGTCCGTCCGTGCCGAGCATCGAGGCGGTGGCACATCCTCGCTACGCAGACCCTGAAGACTGCCAATATTTCTACGTGTGCATCAACGGCAAGACGCCGCGCCGCAACGGCTGCAACTTCGGCCAAGTCTTCAACTCGAAAATTGCTGCATGCGATACACCGAAGGAAGTCCCCGAGTGGTCAGTTAATAAATATTAAAATTCCAATTTCAAATTGCCCAAAGTTAACTGAAATTCTGGAGATATTTTTTTTAAATTCTTCTGAGCATAAATTGGATATAATACAAATTATATCTCCAATAGTTGTTTTATCGTTCAATCAAAACCCGCATAATGCATAATCATTTGATTGAATTAACAAATGCTTTGACCAGTGTATTAGTGGTTTGAGTGTACACATTTACAGCTGAGTAATTACCTTCAAACCATCGGAATCGTTCGTTACTTGTACTCACCTAAGGCCAATGGGTTCTTCTACGTTATAAGATTAGAGAACTTATACCACATTGCAAAATGCCTAAACCAAAATATTTTGCCAAAATATTTCATAATATTTTGCCAAAATATTATGATTAGCAATGTTATATATAATAAGACTCGTGACCACACCTACAGTTCTGACTACTACTTCGACTACTTCACGGAGTACTTCGCAAGCCTGGGCGACTCCGGCGTGCCGTCACCCGACATCATGCAGGCGGCGATCGCATCAGGCTTTGATGTGCCGCAAGTGGCCAAACGCGTCCGCGTGAAGCCCTCGAGCTCAGCCCTGGCCGCGTCCGACGGCGTCAGACGCAGACGACCGCTCGTCGAGACAGCTGAACGACCCAAGATCGTCACCCCCATCGAGGGTCCCAAACTTCCCGACGCTGGGGACAAGGTTCGCGCCGCCGGTAGCGCGCAGGAAGCAAAGCCTGCGCGCACCCGGAGACCGTCCCTCAGGTGTGTAGATACGGATTTTAAGAACAATTTCTACTGCTAGGAATGATTTAAACGAGCCATTCTTACCATCTATCAACCGAATGTATTTCACTCCAAGAAGTCAGAGAGTGGTGACTACAGTTATCGGAAATTAACTAAACAATCTCTTCCAAAATAAGAGCGACTCTAACTAAGCTGACCTCGCAAGATAAGGCCAACAATATTGTTTTTTCTTCATGGCGTTATAAAGTTATGCATCCATGTGACAGGAATAGTTTTATCAGGATGTTTTGTGTAGAGTCCAGAATTTTGATTTTCAAAATGACCCTGTGTCGACTAGGGCCCCCTCCCGTGCGGCTACCACAACCACCACGACCACCACGCCGGCGCCCGAGGAGGACTACGTATATTACGACGAATACCCCGAGACTGCGGGCGCCGCTGCCACCCCAGCAGCCTAAGCTCCCCTCTCCTCAGTCCTGCTGTTAGAAGACACGCGGAAGTATTAGCAAGTGAATAATAATGCACGGGGTTAAAATTGATCTGTTTCATGTTTCAAGGGACAAATTTCGCTGAGAAATGAATCTATTTCTGCTCTATTCGACGAAATATCTTACAAAAAGTCTAGTGTACACAATCCTACAATGTGATTGTTTTTATATGTGATTGTTTTGTATTTTATAAAAATTTCCTGTGCTTATTGCACAGCATTTTCAGTTGTTTGCTGTTACACGTTGAAATGTGCTTCTCTTTCCTCTCTTAGCAGGCGAATATTGGCCATAAAATTATTACTGAAATAAAATAATTTTAAAATTCGTAAAAATTACAATTTCGGGTTATTCGTGAGTTATTTTGTATTATTCGACTGAACGGATGCCTCTCGTGCCTTTGATCAGCCAAAAAAAGACGATTTGGCTCATCCTGAGCGTTCGAAAGTGTAAATTTGCATTTAAATGGGGGACTGAAATATCTTTAAACACCAATGGCTCGCCAATTCTGAAACGCATCAAGACAATTTTAAAATTAAAGAAATAAATAAAAATAAAATAGTACGAGTATATTGGTTGTATTTTTTCGCCCGTTAGTAACTTCGAGACCGATATTTTTGAACGAAAATAAGTTTTTGACCTAGCTAGGAAATTAAATTCATCAGATGAGTAAATTATGTTCAATTTAAGGAAAGTAATTTGTTTTTTTAATAGTTGTAAAGTTTTATTTCAGCGGTCTGTGTTGGTCTAATAAGTGTCTTCATCTCTACAATATCAGCACGAAAAGTCTCATAATGTCAACCAATTATATTTAAAATCTTCTTTAAATAGTTTTACGAGCATTATTCAACAAAATATTACAAGCCAGTACAATAATTTAGAGCATACAGGCAAACATTTAATGTACGCTAAATACAACAGCTACATTTTGTTATAAACAACAGAATTATACAAAGAAATTCGGAGAAAAATTTTATTTTTTCCTGTAGAAATCCGAGTGTAATTACTATTGGCTTTGGAATGCGGTTATGCTGGATTTTTATAAATTTGTTTCGTCGATAAGCTTTAGCTTGAGTCTATGAGTGTTTCAAATGTATCTAGGAGACACTGTCTAGGAAATATAATTTCAGCGTAGGAGACACTGAAATATCTATGGATTCTTTAAGGAACAATTCATCGACTTGCATTTAGATACGCTTCACTGGTTCTGCGGCATCATTCTCCTACGATGAAGAATAATAAAGGCCTAGACGAACTACGGATCCGTAACATGATTCAACGTAATTTGAAGTACATGTTGATCCGTTATCTAGCATTTTTATTTAGGGAACTAGATTACTTCTTCAATGCAAGAATTACATTCCCTACGTACTATATTGTCCTACTATATTATTCATACTATATTGACGATGTTCAATATCCAGATAGCAGGTTCTCTCGGCAGAAATTGATAGCCTTAGTGTACGTGATGAACGTCAGCTCACTAAAAATATAACTGATGCCATCCATCGCAGCCTAATGCTCTAAGCACGGAACTTACTTCGAAAATTGCGAGAAGAAATACACGTCAGTTACCCCTAACAACAACTGCTTGTCATCTGTATTCTCTGGCTGGGGTGCTTGAAAATTATATCGAAAGTCGACTTTTATCCGTTAGATATAAAAAGCTCACATTTTTAGGAGGCGGTCGACTTAGAATATGCAGAGCCCCTTTTTTTACGTATACATGCAAAGTGTCGCTTGTACGCTCTAATGTTCACAACGAAAAAAAAGTTAAATCTTACCCCCATAAAATTTCACATATCTTGTAATTCCGTGACATTAAACCTTCAGATAACCATTATGTCGAGTATATAAGTTTGAAGTGAGTTACGAGAATGGAATGTACTCAATCTCCTCGTACTTCGAGGACTTTTTTGTACTTAAATTCTGTTAATTGGGTACGTTGCAGTTAATAGAATTTTTAACTACTTTTTACGTGCCTATGTCATAAATTGGCAAGAATAGAGCCGATTGTAAGATTTATTGATGAAGCACTCGACACACTATGGTAATTATTCTGTGCAGTAACTATGTCTTACGAGGAAATCTTTGATACGTATCGAGTGCTGGGAAATTCGCCCAAGTCTATAATAAAACACTAACATCATCATCGAGATTTTATGCGAAAGCTCTCACGCTTTCTTCCACGCAGAATCAAACAGGTCTGTATAAAACATTTCTTTTGAGTGGTCGAGTGTTCGGCCACTTAGAAGTTAAATATATACCTTACTTCCGTCCATGAACTCTTTATTATTACACTACAAGGAATCTTCCCGGTGACTTACTAACAGCCGTATATTGTCTTATGACATTTCCTCATAATAATATGAAAAAGATTTGATCAGTGGTGCATGAAATTATTTGAATATACAATCAGAGAGAGGTCTTATTAAAATGTTTTATTTTATATATATTATTTGCGTAATTTTTTTTAAAGTAACTGGTATGCAGCAGAGAATATATAAAATGATCTTTATAAGATGACGAAAAAAATCTTAGCGGAAACTTATCTATTCTGGCTTTTCCCTAGAATTAGCTCCTATTGTTCTATGGGAAAGCCAGGGGACATATCGAACATGACGATTCATAGCACGGCAGGAAAAATTTTTGAGATATCGGAAGCATTTCAAGAAAATCTAGATGTTAGATCAATCAGCGAATACTAATCATCCATCAATACCTTCATCATACCTGGCCCATTCAAAATTTTCATTTCAATTCGTCTTACTTATTCGTGTTCACCTGTTATCCACCGACCAACTTCACTCAGTTCTCATCCATAGAGTGTGTTCAATTATGCTGGTGTACTGCTCTGTACTAATGTACGCAAGATAATAGCTCTCTTATTTTCAATATGTTATAAAATACCGCGTACCGCAACCTCGATCCGTTTCTGCACCTCGATCTCACAGGAATTATGGCGCCAATAATTATTTCTCGCAGAGCCTAGTAGTTATAGTAGTTGCTAGCCATAAGCCCATCATCAACGCAATAAGTTCAAGCGCACTAAAACTATAGCTGATGCCACCGTAATTAGATTTTCTGAGCACGGTAGGAACTTTCTGCATATATTACGAGAGCGGTAGTACTCTTTAGTTACCCCAGCAAAAACTGCTAGTCGTCAGTTTTCTTGGGCCGGAGTGCTTGTAAATTTCATCGATAAAAATCGAAATTCCGTTAAGTCCTTGAACAATAATTTTGTTAGTCGCAAAGCTGAGAATATATATAGTTATGATAATAAAATATGGCGAGAGTGTCGTGAATGCATGTTATACCTCTGCCTGGCATATACATATTGCTCTATGCAGGGTTGCATGCAGCAGCTGTGAAGCAATCATAAAAACACACTATACTCGTATGTCTCATGCGAATGACAATGTCTTAACCCTATACCGCCGTATTCACTCTCCGGAAACATAACTTTCAAATTAAATTATACGTAAACTATTGACCTTAGCAAACTGAGGACGTTTGTACGCAACAGAGAACATTTTAAAGTTGTCGTACGTGGCGGCAACCATCAGTGCAAGTCATTTCGCGATCACTAGCAACGTATTCTTTTTGGGTAGACTTTTGTAACAATATTGCTCCGGTTACTCATGTCAGGAGGTAGAGGGTTAATTGAATGCCAATTAACTAAGAATTAATGAAATAAGGTTTGGATGTTTCACTGGATACGTTAAAGTGTCGATTTCGTTGGCATACACCCCATTGTAGGACTGCAGCACAACGAGAATATAGTGCAGTAAACCCTTGCCCAGGACTGCCAGCCGGCCATGACGAGGTGTAATATGAGCGTCGACCATCAGTCGATTAATTAAGCGAATCACCAACTGATGAAGCCTTTTCTGCTCGTGACTATTTCCTGCTACTCTATCCTTCATTTGTAAATACAATTTTCGGTATCTCCTCTATAATATAAATTTAAATTTAGTTAATTGATCATACTAAAATTCAAGGATTTTCAACGGACGACGAAGCTAGCCGATTAATAGTTTTCCATAAAAATATCGTACGGAATTTTCGAAATATTATTTGTTGTAAATTTTTATTATTTATTTAGTTTCACGATGCTAATTGAAATATTTATTTTGAATCTACTCATTTTGGTCGCTTTGTACTTTAGTAGACACTTCCTATTGAGCAATTTATGGCGGTTTTAATACACAATATTAATGAACTGATAAGCTTCTTGAAAACTTTCCTGCAACTATGTAAATGTCACCGCTATATTTTTAGCTTCTACCTTGCCTGGAACAAACTAGTGATGGTGCCGGTCCTGATAGGTCAGCACAAGTCACTGCTGTACGAATGCAGAAAAAAAACACAATGCACGAGCTACCACAACTGAACTTTTGGCTCCACGCAGAAGGCCACGTGAGGAATTACGGGCCGAAATGCGCTCCCGGCTGAAGTGACATCAATTATCTCGGTGCTAGTGAGCATAAAGGTCAGCCATTAGACTTGCCCTATCGATAAGGAGCCTTGGCAACGGCTGAAGGAATATTACACAAGGATTACAAGGCTTCGACATTTTATACCTCAGATTACAAACCACAGGCGGCTGGGAAGGCCGGCAATTTATAATGGTCAAGATGTTGCAGCCCAAGGTGGTCAATCCATTCGTCTCTCCAGGACTTTGATCGTTTTAAGTCTCACTTGGGCAATAGAAGTTTTCGCACGCTCCAGAAATTCTAACGTAGTTCATATGATCGCATATTTATCGCAAATACTCTTATACGACGATCCAACCTTACGGTTATATATGCTACAAAGAATGAATAAATTTCTCAAATGCCCCAGAATGAATTACTCAACACTTATTTTTATATTAGCGACTGTCTCATACCCTTACGTAACCATTGTGAATGAAATAGGTTCTAAAAACTAGCGCGAATATTCGCATTCTTTGAACGTAAAACTGTGATGTTCACCTCAATGAATCGATACACTATGAATATGAAATGAAATCATTTGTGTGAGATTAAGGATATTGTTAAGAATAAGTCCCCCGGACGTTACTGGGGTGCTTATTCAGTCTTAACAAGAACATTATTGAGGTGTGTATTATTAACAAGGTTAATTTAATGAATAATACAAACAAGTTAAGTTTATTTAAATTCATTGTTTTAAGAATTCCAATCCAATGTAAAAATTAAACGGCGTTTTATTAACAAGGATATACTATATAGGGTGCTATAATTCTTAACAAGATCCGAGATTTATTTTAGACCTTATCAAATTTATTTGACTTCATGGACATTTTACATTTTATCGCATTATTCTAGTGATAATGATTATCAGTCGCCTTATATATATGATAACGAAAATATTAACTTTAACAAAATTTAATTCATCAGATTTGATTGGAGTAGCGTATATAAATATGTCCTCAAATACTCGGAGCCAATTAACTAGCCCTAATCAACTTGTTTGTTCAAGGGCATCGTATTTTTTAAAGTAAAAAGTAAACTTGGGCGGTTGCGCTGCAGTTGTCCTTGGTTCATCACCTCAATTTGGACGTGACG